TGTGCACTTTCTACTCTCTCCTCTCTGCAGGGGCAAGGCAGGTTTTTCAGAATCATCCCCTGTCTCTAGGAAGAGTAGGATTTAACCATATAGGCAGACAGATGCCTCCTACAGCTTTCAATATTTCCAAAGAAAGTTCTTAGTCATCTCTGGGTAACATAGTCCACCGGGGACTTTTTCCTATTGTCAAGCCTAAATCCCCATGGTGACCAGTTAGCCTGTGTCTAGTACTGTCCTCACTGCGCACTGGTTGCCTATGACTGTTGATAAAGCCTTAGTTTGCCATTCCTTGACCAGAAGGCAGAATCTGCAGTGAATGGAAACTACTGAAGGTCGCATTTGTTTTTCATCAGTGAATTAAGAATCTGTGAATAACAATTTTGGCGGTTCGTGAGAATCCCATGGCCCAAATTAATTCCATATAAATGGAAGAGACTCCCTAGATATCCAATTATAATATTTACATGTGATTAGTCTTTTGAGGAGTATCATCTTTTTGAAGTTTATACTAACATAAACTGGTTTTATTTTTTTCCACTTACTGCTTTCAACTGCGTTGTGTTGAATCCCACTTTCCTACTGGGAAGCAAGTTCCTTAGCAACATATAATTTCCTGTCATTTTCAATTATTAGTATAGTCTCAGATGGGTATTTAAGACGTGGTCTTGCTCATTTAAAAAAGATTAATCTCAAGCTTGATTCAAAATGTTATCCTCCCCAGCCCCCGCAGTTATTTGGAGTGAATGTGTGTGGATGTGAGTTTTGGAGGGGAGGTGCTCTAGTTCTCAGACACCTTCCTTCCCTCTTCTAGGACTTACTTCCTCTGGAGTTGGGGGCTGAGAGGAGGGAAGAAGGAGGCCAAGGTGTTTTTACATGATTGCTGAAATATCAGAAATGGACAGGTGTCAGGCCATACTCACCTCAGTTTAGGCAGATTATTTCTGATAGGCTGTTCTCTGCTCAAATGGTGGTCTCTACATAGTGTTATGTATAGTTTTCTTGGGACAGACCATTCCCTCTACCTCCATCCCTGCCTAAATGTGCCCTGCCTCCCCCCAGCCTTGTTGGTGGCCACACTACCAACCCCTCCTCTGGGTTGGACACACCATGGCAGCCCTTAGAGCTTCTTCATGAGGGGTGATGGGGGCCACTGGGGTGTTCTTTTGGCTCCTGAGAACTGACCAGAACTGGGTGGGGTGGGGCTTCCCCATCTTCCTCCCAGGAACACCATATTGGGTCCCACAGAAATGTCTAGATTTTACTGGGCATTAGACTCCATATTAACGTGAACCTCAAATCTTAGAGGACATATGTCAAGGGTCCCCTTTTCTTCCCCATGGTGCTCTATCCTCCTAGGCTTCCAGATAGTACCAGGGCAGCACCAGGGAGGGTCTGTGATCCTGCTGCTCAGCAAAGGTGCAGGTGAGACAGGAGATGCCCGACCCTACTTCGCACAGATATTTGTAGTCCTTGGAAGTGACTCTTGGGGAGCAGCCTGCCCTCCCGACTTAGGGAAGAGGAAAGAACCTGCTCTTTCTCTTGAACAATGCTGATGTCTCTTATTCCCCATTAACTGGTGGGTCAGGCCTTGGAGTGGGGTGGGAAGGGTGGTACAGGAGGAGTTTATTGGGGGTTGGGCCATTTCTGCTGCCTCTTAACAAGCCCTGTAAGGAGATGACTGGCTCCAAATTCTGGGGGCTTCCTCTAGAATGTGGAATCCTTAAGTGACTTTAGTTGTGGATCAGAGCAGAGTTGTAGAATGCTGAAATGCAACTCCTGTGATATAGACATTATAACAATGTACCCATAGATAGATGCATAATCACATACAAGTTTCTGTTGCAGGCCCTAATAACACCAGGAAATCCCTCTGGCTGCCTTCTCATATGCAATTCATTAAAAACCCCACTAACCCATAAAACATTTTTAAAACATGCAACACATTCTTATATTTTCCATGACTATAATTTTTTTTCCAAATGTCAAATTTCAAGGTCTTAAAAAATATGGATGCCCCTGCATTCCTGGTGCCCTAAATGCATGTTTATTTTGTTGGGGAACCCAGCACAACCTCATAGTCTTACTGAAAACATTAAATGAATGAATAAATATGAAAATACTCTTTGTGACCTACAAATACATGCTAGTATTATGATGATTTATAATTGTATATGAGATTTTCCATATATGAATACACATACCTATAAGCCTTATTTATTAAAAGTTTGGTATATGAAAATAAGTTGGCATCTGGAATAAATTTTTAATTTAATTTGTATGTACTAATCAATTAAGACTACAGCCAGTCTTGAGCCAGACTGAGTAGGTTTTAAGACTAGCTCCATGATTTTAGGCAAGTAGCTTAATCTCTCTGAGCCTCACTTTCCTCATCTGTGAAATGGAGATAACAGTATCTACCTCATAGAGTGGTTGTGAGAATCTTATGGGTTAATTCATATAAAAAAATGTAACTTAAAAAAGTATCTGGCACATAATAAGTTCTCAAATATTAGCTAGTATTATATGCCTGTATTAACAACATAGAAAAATCGGAAGTTTCTTATTTTTTTGCATTTCAGATATTTTCAATAGAAATGAAATGGATAAAACTAGCCTTTATGATGTAGTTGATTTTTAAATATTTAAAACTTTGCAGAGTTACCTAGTGTTGGGGGCAAGGGTGGTGGGGGCAATAGGACCGGAGGCAGACTTCCCTGGGTTCAGGGTAGCAGTGGTGCACTGCAGCAGTCATTAACTCAAAGAGAAGGCCAGTTAGTTACCCAGGTAGGGCAGACAAGCAGAAACAGATGAGAATATACATGAGCATCCGGATTCCTAAGACTGTAAGGCTGGACATTCATTATTAAGTAACAGACCTGTATAGCTCTTTCTTCCTACCCTAATTCACACTGGGTCTCCTTCTGCATCTTGTATACTCAGCTCCTCTTTGAAATGCTGCATGCTTGCCCACTGATATTTAATAAAGGGAAAAGTTTGACCTAACGATTCTTCTTGAATGGCTTCTCAATATTTCCTTTAATTCAGCCTCATCACTTTCCTACCTTCTAATTGTTCACAGCCCTTATTAGCTTTATCGGCTTACCGACCTCAAATTGATTTAGTTGAATTTTCTGGAACCAGAGGCAGACCATTTATATATTTATTTCCTTACATACTTTCTATTTTTATCTTTTCATTTCAAGCTTTCATTCTAAATTGATCACAGACATGAGGTCTTAGAAGCCTTGATCTTCCTAGCAAATATTTGCCAGGTTGTAATTTTTTATTTGTTATCAGCAACCAAATTTAAACAAGGCTAATCTTGTTCTAATTTGGTTTATATAAGCCCTAGTCTTGGTACTTAGAGAAAATAAATCTTAATTTCTGCTTCTTTCTTCAGTGTGTGTTATTCTTTCATCCTTCATGAACTGCAGTTCATTTATTCTTTAAATAAAAATAATTTGGAGCAGTAGAAACCACATTTGGACCTGAACTTAAAACAGAAAGTATTTTGGTGAGAACACTGAAATATGTCGAGGGTTGGTGGAGGAGAGTACAGCTCTCCTGTTTGATAGCCTAGTCTTGTCATTGTCCTCTTTCTCTTTTTCACTACCTCAGGGGGTGCTCCTGAATGGTCCTCACTCCTGGAAGGTGACTTGTAGCTGCAGGAACCCTGAGTGACAGTTGCTATATGTGCATGGGCGTCTGTGGTGACAGCCCGCCATAGGCTGGATCAATAGATTGCAGGGATACAAGTTCTAGTTTTATGTGTATACATTTGGACCTCCACGTGTTGTGAAGTTGCCGACTGCAGGGGCAGAGTTTCTGATGAGTGGCCAGGGTGAGTGGCGAGGGCATACTGCAGAAGGCTGTTGAGCATATCATGAGAGGTTTTCTCGAACTCTCATTCACTTTCAGAATAGGTATCTTCATCAGAGGCTAAAGTCAGATGCTGGTCCCTCAAGTTTGCAAAAGCACATGTCCATATTCCCCTCCTTCTACCAGTCCCAGGTTGTACCAAGAGCTATGTTCTTTGCTTGTGGCTGCTGGCTGCTGTTAGAACAGCATTTCCTCCTCACCTTTCTTTTTGTCAATGAACCTGCAGGTCCTACCTTAGCCAACAAACCTCAGCTCAAGTTGTGCCTCCTCCAGGAAGCTCTCTCTGATCACTCCAGTCCAAGATGACCTCTCAATACTCCAAACTGATCATCAGCACACCACTGTTTGTGGACCAAATAAAGTTTTATTAGAACACAGTTACGTTCATTTGTTTAGATATTGCCCGTGGCTAATTTTGAGATACAGTGGCAGACTTGAACAGTTGCAACAGAGACCGTATAACCCACAAGCCTAAAATATTTACTTTTTGGCCCTTTACAAAAAAAAGTTTCCTCTGTCCTAAACTGAGAGTCTTAATGTGTGTATCTTTCAGCATAACCTGTGATAAATGCTCCTTATTTTGTGGCTCACAAAACTCTCACTTTCAAATTCAGCATAGTATTTTATTATTTCCCAGACATTTTGGGCACTGAAGAAAATTACACTTGGAGATTGGGGTAAGTCCGGGCAAGGGACAAAGAGAACTCACAAGGCAATTTTATTTTCAAGAGACAACATTTATTTATTACTATTGTCAGGTGATTGCAGAGTAGGCTCTCAGAGCAGTTTTGGACCTAAACCAGTTCCTTCCAAACCAGAACTTATAACTGAAACTTTTACTTGCTACTGACCTCAGTTTAAGAATATAAATCTTAACATGTTTCTGTAAAGACGTGTGAAGATGGAACTTAATTGAAAAATAATTTATATGTAAGCCCAAATACACACACACAAAATTGGAAGATTAGCATTTACTTTAGAAAGCAATACTTAACGGGATCCTTTTAGATGCTCAGGTGTTCCTCTGTATGAGTCTGACTTGCTGTAGATATTAAGATGCGAATATACTTGACTCGGTGATCCCAAACTGGATTCATTTACGTGTCTTCTCTCCTGCGTAGTGGTCAGCCCATCCCCAGGGTGGAGTACACGGAAGAAGAAACTAAAACCTGGGGCGTCGTATTCCGGGAGCTCTCCAAACTGTATCCCACTCACGCCTGCCGAGAGTATTTGAAAAACTTCCCCCTGCTGACTAAATACTGCGGCTACAGGGAGGACAACGTGCCCCAACTGGAAGACGTCTCTGTGTTTCTGAAAGGTAAGGCTTCACACGGGCTGTCTCTTCCTGCAGCCAGTATCCTCAATTGCTTTCCAAGGTCACAGTAGAGCAAGGACTCTTTCTCTAAAAAGAAAAGATTGTGATTTTTAAAAAAGAGGCATTGAACCGACAGTTACCTGAGGCCCCCTGTGGGAAGCAGAGCTGGGACTCTGGTTGGGGGAGAGGGCCTCAGCTGTCTACACAGTTCAGGGGCTTGCTGAGGCCTCTCTGTGGTCGGCTGTTAAAATGGTAAGCCCCGAGGGATGTTTGAATGTTCAGCTTTGGGCTTTTTCTGATCCTGGAACTACTCTGCTGGGCTGCATGGATATGGAATGACTTCAAAGGTGTCTTTTTATTTGCTTTGTTAAAAATTATGTACTGGATGAAGAACTACTGTGAATAATGTTGAACATTGGTGACTTTCCTCTGGGGTAAATCACTCAGTCAATCAATCAACCAATCAATCAATATTTTAAAGTATAATTTGTGTGTCAGGGACTGTACTCATTGCGGGCGTTACAGTAGTGAACACAATGGATCACAGAGCAGCCTCATTTCACATTCTCTGTGTGATCGCTCTCCCGGGACAATAGCTAGGAAAACTTAGGGGTCTTGTGAGGCAAAGTTTCATGGTGGTCCAACTTTCTCTTCTGTTCTTCATTGTGGTTGAGTCTCTGGGTTCTCTGCTGTTTTCTCTCTCTTCTTTCCTTTCAAGTGCAACAGTTTGAAAAGCAACAGCCTGCTTCCTTGCCTGCAATTCCCTTCCCTGCCTGCCTGCCTTTTTTCCATTGGTGATGCTTTGTTCTCTAGACTCATCAGCCTTGGTCTAAGGATTCTTCTGAATTCTCACCCATATTCTCCCCTCCCTCCCATAATTAGTCTTTCAATTAGTGTCCTATTGTGGCTGTAACAGATTACAACAAACTTTGTGACTTAAAATAACATGAATTATATTGCCATTTTAGAGATTAGAAGTCTAAGATCAAGGAATTAGCAGGGCTGCTTCCTTTTCCAGCTTCTAGGGTCCACCCACATTCCTTGGCTCGTGGCTGCTTCCTTGCATCATTCCAACCTCTTGCTTCTGTTTTCACGTGTCCTTCTCTGACTCTGATGCTCCTGCTTCCCTCTGATAAGGACCAGCCTCACCCTGGTGATCTAGGATACTCTCCCCATCTCAAGATCCGTAACCTAATAACATCTGCAAAATCCCTTTTGCCATGTGAAGCCACGTATTCACAGATTCAGGGGATTAGGATGTGGGTATCTCAATCTGTCCTTTTCTTCCCATTCCACTGCCACCATCCAGTTTGCAGTTCCCATCGTTTTACAACCTCGATGCCCATATTTTCTTCCCTTTACTCTCCCACCCATGGCGTCCACATAAACACTCCTTTCTAAAACATTACCTAAAATATTACTTTCTTCCTGATATCTCTGCTCAGAAACTATTGGTGGCGCCCTGTTGTTTTCACAGGGATTGGCAAACTTTTTCTCTGTAAAGGGCCAGATAGTAAATATTTTGGGCTCTGTGGGCCAAGAGGTAAAACCAAGGCTATGATGTAGGTACTTACATAGACATTTAAATTTTTCCATTAAAAAATGTAACAACTATCTCATGCTCATGAGGTTTACAAAAACAGGCAGTGAGCTGGATTCGGCCTGCAGGCCATAGTTTGCTGCCTTCTGTTTTATATGATTAAGTCTGAATGGCTCAGCCTCAAGCCAGGGTCCTGACCCAGCTTTCCAAGTTTGTCTCTGGCTGCTCCACCATGGGTTTTCTACACCTTTGCTCAGCCCTGTCTCTTACTAGAAAAGTCGTCTCTTCTCCACCTAGTCAAATTCTACCTATTCTTCAAGACTCAGCAAGTCCTGCCTCCTCCTTGAATCCCCCTCTGATTTCATATATCATGTGTGTATCAGGAAAGAGGCAGGCACAGCTGTCTGGCTGGTGCGACCAGCGCCATGAGTGCGCCCACGGAGAAGGATCCAAGTGTGAACTTCACCCACTGTATTTGTTTCTGAGAAAAAGAGATTGAGAACCACTGATCAGTATCACTTAATTAGCACCTAATTACATCACACCTTATGTTGTTAATATTCTCCCCTGTCATGTTCCTCTGTGTTTCCCACAGTTATGCGCATGTTATATATTTATTAATACCAAGGGCTCCATACACGGAGATGACTTTTTACTGTGTTCTTTCTCAAACCCCAGGAATTAGAATGTCATCTGTTAGTTTTTGCTGTAACTGTCCCCTAAATTAACATTTTTTTTTTTTTTTTTTTTTTTTTTTTTGAGACAGAGTCTCGCTTTGTTGTCCAGGCCAGAGTGAGTGCCGTGGCGTCAGCCTAGCTCACAGCAACCTCAAACTCCTGGGCTCGAGTGATCCTTCTGCCTCAGCCTCCCGAGTAGCTGGGACTACAGGCATGCGCCACCATGCCCGGCTAATTTTTTATATATATATCAGTTGGCCAATTAATTTCTTTCGATTTATAGTAGAGACGGGGTCTCGCTCTTGCTCAGGCTGGTTTTGAACTCCTGACCTTGAGCAATCCGCCCGCCTCGGCCTCCCAAGAGCTAGGATTACAGGCGTGAGCCACAGCGCCCGGCCCTAAATTAACATTTTTAAGGGAGGCAGTGAGTGTAGTGCTTTGGAGCTTGGATTGTAGATGTAGAATGTCAGAGACTGAGTCCCCACTCTGCCACTTCCTAGCTGTGTGACCTTAGAAGAATCATCTTAACCTCTCTGTTTCTCAGTTTCCTCCTCTGTAAATGGAGGTAATATTTTTATCTATCTCACGAGGTAGTTGGGATGGGAAACTAATTCATATGCTTTAAAGCCCGAATGTGCCTGATGTACGTTAAGGATAGCAGAGTCTTAGCTATTATCATTATTATGATTATTATCATTGTTTCCCTCCACCCTTGGTGAACTAGATAGGAAGCTCAGTTTGCATCACTCATTGGCACATGGCAAGTACAATGTAAGTATGTATGTTTTTAATTTTTTAAATCGACACTTAAAAATACCTAATTTATTTTAAAAAGAAACTTTTAAAGCAATGGTATTCTCAAATTCAAATTTCTTAACATTATAGTTTCATATATTTTAAAATTTATATAAAAATAAAATACATAACTATTTTTAAAAAGTTCCTCTGTGTACTGTGTACTGCTACTCATGGCCCACATGTGGGATGTACTGGCTTAATTGATGCAATATAGAAAAAGAAGAAAATACACTTATCTTTTTGATATTTCGAAAGCTGTTGGAATGAACATAATACTGTTAGAATTATGGGCTGAGGAGGCCTGAGAATAGGGTTATTTCCATGTAAGTACGAGGGATCCCAGAATGGGCTTATTCTATAAGCTTAGTTGGTTCTTCCTTTTTAAGATCATTTCCAACCATTCTGAGGTATTCTTCTAATGAGTTGAAGTTTTCAGAATGGGAACCTTTCCAACGATGATATCAGGGATAAAAACAGCCCCCCCTGGACATTATGCTAAGTGAAATAAACCAGACACAGAAAAATACCGCATTATCTCACTTCTATGTGGAACCTAGGAAAGTCGAATACATAGAAGCAGAGAGCAGAACAGTGGTTCCTAGGGGCAGGGAGGTGGGAGATATTGGTCAAAGGGTACAAAGTTGCAGTCAGGTAGGATGACTAAGTCTAGAGATCTGATGTACAGTGTGATGACTATAGTTAATCATACTATATTGTATAATGGAAATTTGCTAAAAGAGTAGATTTTATGGGCTGTTAGCACACACACTATCACACACATACAAAGGTAACTATGTGAAGCGATGGATATGTTAGTTTGACTGTAGTAATCATTTCATTATGTACAACAAGTCCTCATTTAACATCACTGATAGTTGCTTGGAAACTGTGACTTTAAGAGAAACAATATATAACAAAACAATTTTTTTTCTTGGAAATATTTTAACAAAATGTTGAAGGAAATCACATCATTTGAGGATCTGTTCTGTGTCATTTCACTTAAAGTTGCAGTTTCCAAAAAACTATCAATAATGTTAACTAAGGATTTACTGTTTGTGTATATCAAAACGTCATGCTATACACTTTAAATATAAGCAATTTTTATTTAAAAAAAATGGAACTGTTGTTCTTTTTAATTTCAGAATCTTTTGAGGGTACAAATGTTTAGGTTACTTATGAGAAAAGGACAGAGAACATAAAGCAACCATTTTGAGATATAGTCACATATTATGTATATGATGGTGGTCCCAAAGATTATAATACTGTACTTCTACTGTACCTTGTCTATATTTAGATATGTTTGGATACACAAATCCGTACCACTGTGCTATACAACTGCCTGCAGTATTCAGTACAGTTGCATGCCGTACAGCTTTGTAGCTCAGGAGCAGTAGGCTATACTAGATAGCCTAGGTGTACAGCAGGCTATACCATCTAGGTTTGCATAAGTGCACTCTATGATATTTGCACAATGGTGAAATTGCCTAACAACGCACTTCCCAGAATGGATCCCCTTTGTTAAGCAAAGCGTGACTGTAAATGACATTTTTGTAAAATGTATATTTGAAAAAGAATAGCCCTTCTGTAAGTTTTCTGGGCTTTCATGAGAAAGAAGTGTTAGGTAGCCCTTAGAGTGAGAACACTGATGGCCCACATCCTACCTAAGTTAGTAGCATAGGATGATTTCATAGATTTTAGTGTATTCTTATTTTGTTTCCTCTTACCATAAACTAATGGGCCATGTAGAGTTTTAGTGTACCTCTTCAAATCACAGTAATTAATATATCATCTCAGAAAACAACAATGTAGAATGAACTAGTTATGCAGTATGGGCAATAGAAAGCTGCAGCGTGAACTGATTCCTAGGTGCTAGGGAGCGGGATGACTCAGCTGTGTGTTACTGAACACGTGTATTTAAGATACCTTATCGTAAGTTGGCTCCTGAATTTAAATCCCTAAATAATTTTTTCACCTTTTTTTCCATTTTAATGAATGTCTTATTCCCTTGGAAACCATCATTCAAGAGTGTGTTTTAGTAATCAGAAGCCCTAAACATGACAGCTATTAACAATATATGCCACTCAGTTGTTAAGAGTTTAAGGACCTTGATTATTTTGTTTCTGGAACATCCTTATAAATAGTAGGAACCCCTGCTTGGGCCCTGCAGTCCTACTGGGTTAATATTTATATGACTCTTCCTGTTTCCTCTTTAGAAAGGTCTGGCTTCACGGTGAGACCGGTGGCTGGATACCTGAGCCCACGAGACTTTCTGGCAGGACTGGCCTACAGAGTGTTCCACTGTACGCAGTACATCCGGCATGGCTCAGACCCCCTCTACACCCCGGAACCGTAAGTACCACATTCAAAGCCCAGACTGGGCAGAGACCACTATGCTACAGAGTGGCCAGTACTCACTGTATTTTAAAGTGACTCAGGCCCTCTTTTACCTCCAAAGTAATTCCATCTTTAGAGCAGTGAGAGTCACAACACTCACCTAAAGAAGGAAAGGCTTGTTCAAGGATCAGACTCCTCAGCTGGGTACTTGAGGCCTCTGGTATTCTAGCTCTGGCTCACTTCTCTAACTTTATCCCAACACTGAACCTTCCGTTCAGCCAGATCTCCGTTTCTGATGAGGAAGGGAAGGTATAGAGAGGTGTAATAAACATTGACACATTCTCAGGACACATGAACCTCAGAGCAGAGAACCCTCTGAGGTTCAAGCAGTTAAGTTGCTGCTGTCAGCAGAAGTGGGCAGAGAGGAGAGCCCAGTCTCTGATGCCCGCCTACCCCTTCTAGGCTGGCATAAGGCTCACTGGTCGGGTGGTCTCTATAGGGTCACTACATTGGTTTTTCAGCTCTTTTCAGCATCCCTGAAAGTATTTTTAGGGTAAACAAAGATTACTTACAGGACTCAAGACATTTGGAAAAGAAATGCTTCTTAGAGTGGAGCCAGTGCTCAAAGGAGCATTGTCAGAGTTAGAAAGGCAATCTCTAAATCTGGCCCAGAGGGTTTACAAATGGCCCTGTTTACAAATAGCAGGCACTTCGTTAGTTCCCTTTGAATAACTGGCCCTCCTGAGACCAGTGATAGCGTGCCAATAGGTATGCAGAGAGGAAGAGAAGGCAGAGAAATGAGATTTTAGCCACAGAGGTCAATAAAATTTTGGGATAATGTGTTACATTTTTACCAAAGTACTTTCAGCCAATTCGTTCAGCAAACATTTATGTGCAATGCTAGCAGGGAGGCGCAGTGGATTCAAAGATGAATAAAATATAGTAGCAGTTTGTTTTTTTTTTTTAAAAGCAGCTCACATTTTGGCAGGGGAGATAGAAACATAAATAATTAGAAAAGAGTGTAGTTATGGCTATAATTGGGATGTGTACAAAGTGTTGGAGGAGCACAGGAGAGGGAGAAGTCCTGAAGGGCTTTTCAGAAGAGGTACAAACTGAGCAGAGTCTAGAAGGGTGAATAGAAATTTTATTTTTGAACAAGACCAGGTGGGGAGAGAAGGGAAGGCTTTCTAAGTCAAGGAAACAGCAAGTGCAAAGTTGTGGAGGCATGCAAGAGGCATAAATGAGCAAGGCTTGTTAGACCAGGGTGGCCAAGTCACAGTATATATATTAGGGATGACATGTATCTTCAAGGCCACATTATAAATCGACATTTATCAAACTAGGACATTAGGCTTAATTTTGTAGGCAACAGGGAGCTATCCAAGGTTCTTAAGTGTAATTGGGTATGTTTAGTCATATTTGAGAAAGATGACTGGGGTATGAGCTGGGGAAGTGTGAAGAAGGAACAAGATGGAAAACCAGCTGGGGAGCTCACATTCTAGTGAAGGAATATCATTTACAAAGTACGGAGCTAGAAAAAGGTCAGCGGAATAGTATGAGGGTACCTATTTGATGCTCTCTTAACAGTGTGGAAATGAAATTGACATTTGGTGACTATAACAGGGATGAGAAGAGGGAAGGGCCCTGAGGGTGCTGCTAAAGGTTTTATATTGGGAAACTGAATGGAAAATCATTTTCAATAATGATTGAGAATACTGGAGGAGGATCAGGCTTAGAGGGAGGAGGGAAGGGACAAGGGAAAGAAAGAAGGAAGCAAAAGGTTTGGGTTTGGGGTTTGCTGTCGTTGAGGTACCCATGGGTGGGACCTCCAGAGGAAGAAGCCCCTGGTAGCTGCAAATAAGGGTTGGGAGTTCAAAAGTGAATTTAAAGTTCTCATGATAGATTTCAGTAGTTATCTTTCTTCCAGGACTCCTATGACTACACAGATAAGTGGAGACTAAGTCAGATGATGAAAAGTTGGGATTCACTAACTTAGGGTTGTTTTTATAATCCCTTTATTTTTTGTTTCATATCATTAAATTTGTTTTAAAAAGTATTATTTTATAAATAGGTACTATAGGCACATGGTTCTCTTAAAAGAAAAACTCTGTTTGTTCACATGTAGGTATAAAAACATAAACAGTTGTTTTTAAACCAATATAAACATTTGTTTATGTAGGTATAAAAAAAAATAAAAAAACTTTTGACAAATTAAACAGCTTAATTGAGCAACGAACAATTCCTGAATCAGGCAGCTACTCACCCCCCAACCCCCAACCGGAATAGGTTCAGAGAGACTCTGGCACTGCTGTGTGGTCAGAGACGATTTATAGGTAGAAAAAAGAAAGTGATGTACAGAAAATGGAAGTGAAATAAGATACAGAAACAGCTGGATTGGTTGTAGCTTGGCCTTGGCCTTATGTGAACACAGTTTGAATACTTGGCTGCCTTTGACTGAAACTTGGTGATTGGTACAAGAGTAGGTTACAGTCTGTTTACACATCCAGTTAGGGTACAGTTCACTATGTACATAGAAACCTTTAGACTGAACTTAAAATATATAAAAAGGCAGCTTTAGGCTAAACTTAATTTAGCAGTTTGGAATTCAAAGAGTACTACAGGGTGAACTGTGAACAGTGAGTTCCTTTCCATCTCTTTCCTCTTAACACATGGTTCATTCTTTTCAGAGGTCACCACTGCTACTACTTTCCATTGCATCCTTCTAGAAATATGCTATGCAGACAAAATTCTCTGTAAAGATCCCTTGAATCCTTGTGTATTGCAAAGTCCTAAGTCCCTTCTCAGCCACATAGCTTGAATCTATGGGACACTTTACTGGGAGGGCTGTTTCCTGCCCAAGCGCTTTCACAGGCATTGTCTTTGTAAGGAAATCCCATTTCCTCAATTGAAAAGCAACAAGAGGGCAGATTCTCCAATTTGTGAAGTTGAACTTGGCTATGGTGTTTGGTGCTTGTACTCTGCTTCCAAATAACTGCCTTTGATTGCTGAACTGTTGTAGTGGAGGCGGCAATAATGAGACAAAGGTGAGCCCTGAAGACCCAGCTAGAAATGAGAGTGAAACCAACAAAAAAGACATTATCTGAAAAAAGACTTTTACTTTCCTTTTCATTCTGGGTAGAATATATTTTGCTATCACAGCTTTCAGCACACATTTAAACATGTCTTCAGCTTGTTTTTACGTTTTATAATTTTAAAGACTCTGGGTTCTCCAAACTTGGCCAGAGAATGGGACTTGAATTTAAAAAGTAGTGGCAGATTTGATTGGTTCCTTGGGGAAAGTTTTCTGGCCTGGAGGACAGTAGAGAAAGTCCTGGCCATCAGTAACTCCTGGTTTTCCTGGTGGGAGGAGTTGCTTTTCCATGTGTGTTTATGTGTTTCCATGTGTTTATGCTCTGTCTCCCATTGAGCAGTGCCTGAAGCAGTGATTCTGCACTCCAGCATTACCTGGCTGTGTGCTTTGATCAGCTGTGATCAAAAAGTTGTTCCTAATCAGGTATCGAAGTTTGTGAATGATTTCCTTTAAAAAAAAATCAGTTAGGTCAATCAGTTCAAGGTTATTTTAACGATACCATTCCTTTCACTCATCAGAATTTGAGGGAAAGACAGAATTCTGAGTTGGACATGTGAACGTCACCTGGCACAGGTACAGTGGCAGAACTAAAATTCAAGAAGTCCTATAATCTCTTTGATCTCCTTTTTGTCTCTCTGGGAAGTCCATGTGGGTTTGTCATGCTATGACCTGTGAACACGTCATCTTCTTTTAGAACAGGATTACTTAACCATGGCACGACTGACATTCTGGGCCAGATAATTCTTTGTTGTGGGAGATGTCCTGTGCATCGTGGGCTGTTTAGCAGCACCCCTGGCCTCCACCCACTAGATGTCAAGAGCACACTTTTACCCTCACCAGTTGTGACAACCAAACATGTGCAGAGGGGGACAGCATCTCCTCTGGTTGAGAATCACTGTTCCAGAATAAGAACTCTGACAGGTCATGTTAACACTGCTGCTGTGTCTGCAATTATTGTGCTCCTTCCACTTGGAGATAATCTATAGGCATTGTTCTTTTCTAAAACACAAATCTGAAAATAGCATTTCATGTTTAACTTTTGTTGGTTTCCTGTTACATATAGAAAAAAATAGTCTCATTTCATCAAACCACATCCTCTGCCTCTTTTTCTGCCTCCTCCAAAATTCTCTGCTCCAGCTATGCCGAACTTTTCACCATCCCCAAGAGCCTGCACGTTCATGCCTCCCTCTTTCTGCATGGGTGGCTCATTGTGCCTGGAATGACTCTGGTGAAATCCTTTTAATCCTTTAGGATTAAGTTCAGTTGCCAACTTTTCAGTGAAGACTTTTCCAGAGTTAAATGTTCCTGTAGCACTTTTGCCTTACTTCTGCTTTAGTCCTTCCAGCACTGCCGGACCATTATTTGTTCATGTGTCAATCTTCTTCATAAGATTGTAAAATACTTAAGGCCAGTTGGCAAAGTCATTACAGGAGCGAGAAGATCCAGACTGAACTTGTAGTGGATCCCCAAACCTGGCATAAAAAGCGAGAATTGACTCCAGAGTGACCCAGAGCTGTGAATGACACTGCCACGAGGAAATGCCAGGTTTGAGATATCCGGGCCTCTGAGATTTGTGGAGTGAGGGTACACAGGAGAAGTTCATGCTTAAGGTCTATAGGAAGTCCTTGTGCATACTGGGTGGTGGTAGGACCTCTTGCTGAAGGGCTACAGCCCTGTCTATATTGGTGAATGTCCTCCACTCATCCTGACAGCTTTACTCTGATTTCAGGGACTGATATTAGACATCCTTTCATGAAGAAGGCATTTTTACATACTCAATATCTTCAGGCAAAATTGTGAACCTTTTGTGTTTTTTTGGTTTTCTTTTTATTTTTTTAATTTCAGTACATTATGGGGTACAAATGTTAAGTTTACGTATATTGCCCATGCCCCCCCCCAGTCAGAGCTTCAAGTGTGACCATCC